TCACAGAAGGAGAAAGAGCCCAAAGCCATGGGGAGGTTTGGGAATTCTAAATCCCTAATATTAACTGCATTACTGAATCTTAAAAAAAATCCAAATGCCATTTCATGATTTTGAGTCTAGTTCCACCTACTTTATAAGGAAATAAAAATTACATGCAAATATTTATTTTTCTCACTTTAGGGAATGAGTCCCAGGCTATGCATTGTCCTGGTCCCCAGAATACAAAGAATTATGAGAATGGAATCAAGCCAAAAGTTTACAGTAAAAATGATGTTTCAATTTTCATCAATATCAAAATAAAATGCCATTTCGTGAAACCAAGGGTATTGGAACTTTAACCAAGGGTATTAGAAATTTAGAAGCATTCAAATAAATACGAAAACCAAAAATGTTTCAAATGAAGCCTAAAGATATTCTTTAGACATTTGCTAAATCTTACAGGATATAGATGGCAACATTATATTGTATGTAAGATGAAATCTGAAAAATATATTTGAAACAGTTTTGATTAATGTGACTTTTGATTCTGTAAGAGTTTCTGTAAGGATTCTACTAAGTTATAGGTAGAAATTAGTAATATTAATATTTAGTCAAATAAAACTTTTAACCTTTCCCTTAAACATCACATTTATTGTGAACTGATATATAGTAGAACATAGTTACCAACAGAAAAGAATAATATGATTTTTTCTCAAGTGTAACATATATTTTTTAAAGTCATTAACTAAGGTATCAAAAGATATTATATTTTCCCATCTGAAATAATAAACATGGTTCAGGAAATGTGATGTTTCACAAGGTGGGTCAGTTGTGATTCCTAAACTAGAGATGCTTTTCTGAATACCCAAAAACAATTATTTTCATAAATGCTTATTTATTCTGTGGCTTAAATTGAAAATAAATTTTTCCTCATATATAGAGAAAGGTAAATTCACGGAACAAAAATAGAAAATAAGACAATACTTAAAGTTTTACCAACCCAAAATGACTAGTGTGGCCATGTTCATGTGTATATACTTTTTAAATTTTAATATCTTAGACAGAATAAGCTTTATACATTTATAGAAAATATAAATAATAAAATAAGCACTTGTTCAGCTTATACTCAGCTTAATAAAGAAAAATTATGATACTGTTGAAATGAATATGTTTTGTGATTATTATTCTTGTGGCTATTTATATATGTACACATACTATCAATTATTTCTTGAAGATAAACTCCTTCTATGGAATTGCTGTCAAAGTGCATACATTTTTAAGTAGATGCATTGTTAACATTTTTGACAGACAAGGATGATTCATCTTTTGAACAAGTGAAAAGCAATGTTGCATTTCATTGCATTCATCAGGTGGGGGAAAATTTTTAGAAGCTACAAGTCAAAAATAGCCCTAAGAACTATTTTTGTGAGTTTGTGCTCTGAAAAATACTGATATAATTTTACTACCAAAAGGACTACCAGGGGAACCCAGCTGGGACAGTGTAGGGCCTACAACCTGCTGATGTCTGGTCCACAGCTGACTTTATAAGACTAAGGACCACAAACTTCAGTGTCTGGTGCACCGCCAAGTTCACTCACCTTGAAGCCATCAAAAGCAAAGGCACGTTCATCAGAGCCAAGCTCCTGATCAGGTTGACAACCTGGCCTGCTCCAACCAACTCTCATGTCCCCAGCAGTGACAGCCTCAAATTCAAAATACCACCTTCCTGCTTTCACAGCATAGGTCTTCTCAGCACGGAAGATTCGGAACCGTTCCCCTGTGCTGCTACACACTTCAGCTCTGGCAGCTGTGAATTTAAAGAGATTCTGATGATCAGTGAGTAGGCAGGAAATTGAAAAAGGAAGCAAAAGTATCACACAACAGAAGTAAACCTACAGTGATGATGATAGAATACCTTCTACTCTTATCTTGGTTCACATTTTACAAAGTATTTTCATATAGATCAGCCTTTGTCAGATGGACCACTTGGTAAAGTGGAGTGCACAAGGGCTGCTGTTGGGAGGATGGTTGTTAAACCTCAGTAATACTGTAAGGGAAGGTACTGATTTCTACATGCACCCCTTTTCAGGAGAAAACTATATTTCTGTCAGTGAAAAAAAGTATACCAGCTCCTTGGTGATTTGGTAGTGCAGCCTTAGATGAACTTGAAGACAAGAGTGGAAAAAATAATAAAAAAAGATATTGCTCTGTTCAAAGATGCAAAAGTGTGTATGGATAAGAGAGGAGGCAAGGAGCTGCCAGGAATTGAAATGGGGGTGGGAAGAGGGAAAAAGTAACAAGAGAAAGATATAAATAGCAGAGAATGGTATCCACTGACAAATTTCCCAGTCAGCATGGCTAAGGGAAAAAACTCTTCCACAATCCACATATCCCATACATCCTCATTTGAATGTGCTACACATGCAAATGTGGTGTTTAGGATTTTGGCAGACAAGTAAAAGGGCCAGTCAAATTCAATATCAGGATCAGTGTGGCATAAAGGATAAAGCATGTATCTGTTGGAAATGAGAGGGCCATAAGTTTGAGAATTTCAGAAATGTAAATCCTCAGCCCAAGGAACCTGAAACCGGGATGATCATGAGAATATAAGCCCCCAGGAAATCACAGGGCATGGACAAGGGTCCACTGAACTGTCATCTCAAAGGTTCAGTTAAGATCTGAGTTAAATATGAAGGAGCCTGGGTGAATTACTTTTGGGGAGCATTACTGTCAAAGGCATAGAATTTTCCCCAAATATGTAGTTCTTATGCTTTGCTTAATTTTAAACACTTACATTCATATATGTTAGACACCATATCATCAGTCCTATTCATATATGTTTAGATGCAATTTTAGCTCATGTCAGTATATTCTATAATGCTGTTTTATAGTATAAAGAACATGATAATAGCTGACATTAAAAATGAAAACTTAGCTGTTATATTTCTAAAAATACAAAATACTGCAATACCAATACCTTCATAGTTCCTGGCACAGAGAGGGTACACACCAGTAACTAATCAAATAGGACTTAAAATATTATACAGATTCCTTTAGAGGGTAGTCAAAATCTAATTATACATTATAATTATAAATCATAACAAGCTATGAAGGAAGGCAGGTTAATCTCTTTTAAATTTTATGCATATCTAGAATTCTTTAGATATTTTTAAATAATAATTTAAAAGTTACTTATATTAACCAGTTATCCTTTTCATCTCCTGTTATTATTTCTAATCAAGCAATTTAGACTTTGATAAAAACTTCACATGAATAAGAATTAATTTTTCAAATCTTTAAAAATTGTTAAATTTTATTTAAAATTCAAATACTAAATTCAATTCAATCTGGAAAATGTAAGCATCGTGCTCTTTGACAGAAAAGAAATCACAATCCAACATATATGACAAGTCCATAGCCAATATCATTCTAAATGGTGAAAAGCTGAAAGCATTTCCATTACGATCTGGAACAAGACAAGGATGTCCACTCTCACCACTGCTTTTCAATATAATACTGGAAGTCCTAGCCAGAGCAATAAGACAAGAGGAAGACATACAAGGAATACAAATAGGGAAAGAAGAAGTCAAACTATCACTATTCGCAGATGATATGATAATATACATAGAGAACTCTAAAAACTCCTCAGAAAAACTAATCAAACTAATCAATCAGTTTAGTAAAGTAGCAGGATACAAAATCAACACACAAAAATCAGTAGCCTTCCTATACACAAACAATAAATCTGAAAAAGAAATCAAGAAAACCAGGCCTCCCTGGTGGCACAGCTGCCCACAGCCTCTGCCGCGCTGGTTTGATTCCCGGCTGCCGGCAAGGTCCCCTATGGTGCGCAGACCTCTCCTGCCACGCCCGCTGCTCCCCTCAGCAATGTACTTCATCAGTCTGCCTGTTCTGTTTCCCGCTCTGGCTCTGGTGAATTGTCTCATCCTCCCGTGCTTCTGACTGTACCCAGTGCATGTATAAATAAATAAAAAAATCTTAAAAAAAAAAAAGAAATCAAGAAAACCATCCCTTTTTTTATTGAAACAAACAAAAAAAATCAAATACTTAGGAATAAACCTAACAAAAGAGGTAAGGGACCTATACAAAGAAAACTGTAAAATACAATGAAAACAAATAGAAGAAGACACAAAGAAATAGAAAGATATTCCCTGTTCATGGATTGGAGGAATTAACATTATCAAAATGGCCATCCTACCAAAAGCAATTTACAGATTCAATGCTATTTCAATAAAATTTCAATTACATTCTTCAAAGGAATAGAATAAATATTGATGAAATTCATATAGAGCCACCAAAAACCCTAAACAGTCAAAGCTCTAGTGAAAAAAAAAGAAGGGAATGGAGGCTTCACACTCAGATTTCAAACTATACTACAAAGCCATAATAATCAAAACTGCATGGTACTGGAACAAGAACAAACACACAGACTAATGAAACTGAATAGAAAATCCAGAAATAAACCCACAGATTTACAATGGAGCAAAGAAAGTTGTTCAATAAATGGTGCTGGAAAAACTGGGTTGCCACATGCAAAAGAATGAAGCTTGACTACTATCTCACACCATGCACAAAATCCAACTCAAAATGGATTAAAAAACTTGACATAAGACCTGAAACCATAAAATATATAGAAGGAAATAAAGGTGAAACACTACATGACATACACCTCAGCAATATCTTTCAAGACTTATCACCCAAAGCAGTGAAAGCGAAGGCAAAGATAAACAGCTGGGACCACATCAAATTAAAGAGCTTCTCAACAGCAAAAGAGACAGTAACCAGGGTCTCCCCTGGTGACACAGCGGTTGAGTGCTGGGCTGCGAAGCTGCCCGAAGCCTGTGCAATGTCGATTAGATCCCCGGCCACCAGCGAAGGTCCAACATGGCGCGCAGAACTCTCCTGCCACACCAGCTGCTCCCCTCAGCAGTGTATTTCGTCAGTCTGCCTGTTCTGTTACCCGCTTTGGCTCTGGTGAATACTCTTACCCTCCCACGCTTCTGACTGTACCCAGTGCTTGTATAAATAAATAAATAAATCTTTAAAAAAAAAAAAAAAAGACAATAACCAAAACAAAGAGACCCCCACTGACTGGGAGAAAATTTTTGCACACAACACTAATGATAAAGCACTGATCACAAAAATCTACAAAGAGCTGATGAGACTCAACAAAAACAAAGAAAATAATCCAGTCAAAAAATGGGCAGAAGAGCTAAAAAGAAACTTCTCTGAAGAGGAAATGCAAATGGCCAGCAAGCATATGAAAAAATGTTCAACATCGCTTGTAATCAGGGAAATGCAAATCAAAACTACCATGAGATACCATCTTACACCAGTGAGAATGGCACATATTAAAAAAACTACAACAAATGTTGGTGAGGATGCAGAGAAAAAGGAACTCTCCTGCACTGCTGGTGGGAGTGCAAACTGGCCCAACCACTATGGAAAGCTGTGTAAAGATTCCTCAACCTGCAAAAGATGGAGCTTCCATATGATCCAGCAATTCCACTCCTATGTATTTACCCAAAGGACACAGAAACATCAATTCCAAAGAGCACCTGCACCCCTATGTTTATAGCAGCACTATTTACCATAGCTAAGCTATGGAAACAACCCAAATGCCCAAAAAATGGATGACTGGATCAAGAAGATGTGGCACGTATACAGAATGGAATATTACTGAGCAATCAAAAAGATAAATTCATGCAATTTTCAGCAACATGGATGGAGCTGAAAGGGATCATGCTTGGTGAAATAAGTCAGAAAGAAAAAGAAAAATACCAGATGGTCTCACTCATAGCAGGAATTTAGAAAACCTAAATAAGGGACCAGGAGAAGGACTAATTATAATAAAGTAAAAATCAAAATCAACAAGCAACTATAAACCAGTTGCTGGGAGGGGAAGAGATTAGGGTCAAAATAAGGGGGCTGGAAATTGTATGGGGAATATAATCAAGATGATAATGCATACATTGTGCAAAAATGAAAAATGATGCAAAAATATATAAAATAAAATAAAATAAGAAATCGCAATCCTGATTGGTTACATAGGATTAGATTAGATTTTATTAAAATTTTCATGTCCTTAATGTTTTTAATGTCAGCAAGAGCAATGTAGCAAATTATAAATACATGTTTTAAATCTTATCTTAGTGATTGCCAGATTTATTTGGTTTTATTCCATAATATCTCTTATATCTCTCTTTTAATTCCCATTTTAACCATCCTTGTTCTGGTAGTTTTTCTGAAATCTCCCAATGAGTTGTTCTATCTCCCATCACTTTCCTCTTCCCATCTGTTCCTTCTGACTGTTGCCATAGTTATATTGCTATTGTAAACTGTGATCACACTTCAAGATCTTGCTTAAAATTTCCTGGGGCTGAAACTCCTTACACAAATTTATCCATAGTTTTAGTGGAGTTTTCAAGATATTCCTTATTTTATCTCAATGCTTCTACCTTTATCTGTAACTATTTTCTCCTCACCTATAGCCTATAATTTATTCTAACTGGACTTCCAGTCTCCCTTAACTCTTCTTATACTTAGTTAAGTAAGATACACCTTCTCTCTGTCTGGAGTGCCCTATCCAATGCCAATCTCTACTTGTTGACATCTTCATCCCTTATGTCAGATTCCATTTCTCCCCTTTCTGATTTCTCCAATTGAAAATTAATGTTTATCATGGATTTTTCTATAAAGATGAATGGAATCCCTCCCACAAGGCTAGGCATGCTCCATTGTGAAATATACTACAATAGCTTTATGGTTCATGTAATATCAGTATGACTGAAACTTAACAATCAATGATGAAAGTTTTTTTCTCTAATTTTTTTAAATTCAGAAACCATTCCTTTCAGTTTTCTCATTTCTCATAAAGATACTCATTGAACTCATTAACTTCCTCTGTGACTTCCCTTCTTTCCTTATATAGCTTCCTTACACTCTTTTTTTAAAGATTTATTTATTTATACAAGAGCAGGAGTACAGGCCAGAGGTGTGGGAGGGTGAGAGGATTCACCAGAGACAGAGTAGGGAACCAAACAAGCAGACTGATTGAAATACACTGCTGAGGGGAATAGTGGGCACAACAGGAGAGGTCTGCCATGCCATATGGGTATCTCCCTGGCTGGTCAGGAATCAAACCCATGCTGCAGAGGCCATGGACAGCCTCACAGCACAGCATTCAACACGCTGTGCCACTGGGGAGGCCCCATACCCTCTTGTCCTATTACTCTCCTCCTTACTTGCTCTTTAGCCCCAGCCTTTGTCTATCTTCATTCTCAGTATCTACATTAACTCTGCTGAGCTGGCTGGAAAACACAGGCAAACAACAGATGGGCACCTCAACTAGCTCATAGTCTCCAACCTCAGTTGAGCCATTAATGTTTCTCTCTAAGCTTTTATCTATTTGCAGCCTGCTTTCTGTTCCATCTCAAGAAACAGCTATTTCTAATCTTTATTGCTGTGTGAATGGAATGGCAGAGTAAGGATCTCCAAAACTCCTCTTCTCCATAAAAGCAATGTGAACACAGGAAAAAATTCATCAAAATCAACATTTTTCAGAACTCTGGAGATTAACCAAAGGCTACAACAATCTGGGAAGTGTTTATTCAACAAAAATTGCCAAATGTCCAAAGGACACCAAGCTTAGTAGTGTTTTAACTTGTTTTAGTCCCACCCCCTCATGAATGTTCCACACACACCCCCGCCCCTGTCTATATTGAAAATCACATAATACAGTAAAAATCACTATCTAGAAACTTCTGGAGGGGACAGAACAGAGTAAAGCTCCTCCAAAGCTCATTTACCTATAACTGTCATCTTAACTTTCCGACAATTCCTTGGAAAATATATTTGCAAGGCTTGTCTTTATTGGATCTACTTGCAGTTTGCCAATAATCTTTTCCCTGGAGGTACTTGTTAAAAATAATTACGGACTTTTTAAAAAAAATGCAACTGCTCGAGCTGGCAATATTGGTTGAGGCAAACAAGATGACCAAAAACTTAAAAAAAAAAAAAAAATTCTAGGGAATGAGATATCCATAAGTGGGCTGTGAAAAGTTACAATATAACCTTGGCAATCTAGAAGGCCACTGGTGCCCAAGACTGGGTGTGTGCTCAGGAAAGAACAAAGAGGACACTATATCCTCACTGGTTTCCCTTAGGATGTCAGTCACTCAATCATGTGATGGTTTCCTGAGGAGATATAAGATGTAGCCACTCATAATTATGATAGTTTACTCAAAATAGTCCATGATTGGTGATGTAGGAAAATGCCTGAAAGTTTAACAAAAAGAAAAAAAAATGTGTGTATAAATATTTAAGATCAAGTAACATTTGAAAGATTCATAAAGTCAATAAATCCCTAAAAAGGCTGCTCTATTTTACCTATTTAATTTACAATACCTCCAAAAATTAAGTTGACAAATTGAACTGAATACATCATAATTTTCAATAATTTTAATTTGTTCAGTAATGCAAAGAAAAAACAGTGGAGAAATCCTTAAAAAAGAAGAAAAAAATTGGATGACTTACTTGACATGAGTTTAAGATTTGTTACAAGGTGATAATAATATAGTATGATGTTAGCATAAAGATAGATACATAGATTTATGGACTAGAATGGTCTCAGTAAGTACTTGACAAAGGTGCCAGGGTAATTTAATGGGGAAAGGATAATTGTTGCAATTAATAGTGCTGTGACAGCTAGATAGCCATTTGAGCAAAACATGAACCTTAACCTTAATCACACTTGATACATGAAAATTAATTCAAATTACATCAGAGACCTAAAAGGAAAAGCTAAAATAAAAAAAAAATATTTGGAAGAAAACATAAGACAAAAATCTTTGATTCTGCATAACCAAAAATTTCTTAGGACATAAAACATACAATTATAAAGGGAGAAAAAAATGGAAGTAGACTTCATCAAAATTAGAGTATCTGCTCTTTGAAAGGGCTCATTAAGAAAATGAAAAAAGAAGCTCCAAACAGGGAGAATATACTTCCAATATCTGACACATTCCTAAATACAATATATGTCATATATATGTGTGTGTAAGTATATATACATAAACTTATAATCCAATAAAAATAAGACTGTTTTTAAATGGATAAAACTTTGAACAGATATTTTATAGAAGGTAACATACCAATGGCCAATACACAAAAAGATGGCAACATTAACATTTATAAAGACAATGCAAATTAAAGTCAATACCAATTCTTGACTAGAATGTGGGAGCAAATGGCACCTTCATATATTGGTCCTGGGAGTAAGTTTGCTGAACCATTGGGTAACTTCTTGTGAAAGTGAGACAAGCATCTTTCTATGGCCCTAAATTTTACTCCCAGGTCTTCACCCTTAGAGATGTAAAAATATTATACAAAGACTTATACACAAATGTTTATAGTTGTCCTGTTAATAACAGGCAAAAACTGGAAACAACTCAAATCTTCATCAATAAGAAAATGGATAAGCAAATTGTGGATTATTAGTATAATGGACTATTATTCAGCAATGAATTTTATGATACATGTAAAAATGTACTATCACAAATACATGTTGAGAAAAATTGAAATTATAGTATCATCAGTTGAAGCAAAGTATAAGAAGAAGCCAAAAACCAATCTGTGATGACAGAATTTATAAAATAGTCACTCTGTTGGGGCAGGAAGGAGCTTTCTATGAATAAGAAAACGATCCACATGTTGTTTTGAGTGGTGGCTCCTTTGGTGTACACAATTGCCAATTGATCAAATTGAACACTGATGATCTCTGCATTCTTCTGTATGCAAATTATAATTCAATTACAAAATATACATTAAAAAATTAACCAATTAGCTTGGAGGGTTTATTCCATATCATACAGTTGAAAAATCTTTCAATTGTTGTATCTTGGGTTAGAATCCTTTTGTTATTTGTTTCCAACCCAGTGGTCATGTATATTACAGATTTTTTTTTTAGACAGGAATAATGTTTTTAATATCTTGCATACCTACTGGCATCTGTTTTATAAAATGAGTCTATTAAGTTTTTGCTAATATAAAGCTGACCTCAAGATAAACAAGAATTATATTATGGTTATGATTATTAGATGGATATCTAATTTTATTTGCAGCATATATAAGAGCTGTCAAGATGCTAAGTACATACTGACTTAACTCAAAAGACTAAAATTTGAAATAAAAATGCCTGGGACTGGGATCCTGCATCTACCACTTAGGAAATGGAAAGACAGAGAAGTCTGAATCTCTCTCCTATTCTGTAAAATGAAAATAATGTCAGATCCCCTTCATAGGCCTACTGTGAGGACGAAATAATAATTGTAAAGACCTTAGAAATACTTGTTGAACATGATAAACATATATACTTACTGTTCTCTCTCACTTTCTATAACTTATATATGTTATTATTACTATTTAAGGTATGCATTCCTATGCAAAGGTTCTGCACTGAAAATATTAGTCATCAGAGGATACTTGGGAAAGATTATTTTTAATTTAACTTTCATTTAAAAATATGAGCAGTGGGCCTCCCTGGTGGTGCAGGCAGTTGAGCTCTGCACTGTGAAGCTGTCTGCAGCCCCTGCAGCACGGGTTTGATCCCAGCCTGCCAGCGAGAATCCCACATGGCACAGCAGACCTCTCCTGTCTCACCTGCTGCTCCCCTCAGCAGGGTATTTCAGTCAGTCTGTCTGTTCTGTTCCCCACTCTGTTTCTGGTGAATCCTTTCACCCTCCCTTGCATCTGGCCTGTATCCCAGTTCTTGCATAAATAAATAAATATTTTTTAAAAATGAGCACTATAATAAAACACACAGTACTAATTTCATTTTTGACAACTTTAGGAATGGCTGTCAATGCCACTTAAACCACAGAAGCAAAGGATTAAGGAGTTGGTCATTTGAAACCATAATCTTAAAGCGTACTATTTAAGGGAAATTTGTTCTTTATAGAACTTTTAAAAATCCACTTATTCAACACATATTTATTGACTGCCTATTCTAATGTGTTTTCCTTAGAGCAAATATTGCACTAATTTATTAATATTGTCTATACTTATGAATATAAACAATGAAGTTTCAGAAAACATTAGCGACTATTACAGGTTTACTCCCATAAACAATTAATCCAGCTCTTTGGAAGGAGAGCTCAGGGGTGGGAGGAGAGGAATATCAGCCTCAGACAGTTAATTGTTCACCTCAGAATCTTCAAGAAGGTAAATACTTTTCCTCCCTGCAGAATCATTGTAGTCCTAAGCTGCTCTATTGAGAGATGGGTCTAGCCCTTTAAATGTCCTTCAGGGAAAAATGCTCTAAACTACTGTCCTAAACCACATATTTAGATAAAGAATTCTATATTGTACTACCTCCTTTTTTTATTTATTTGGCATTAAAGAACTATAGCTGACTCTTGAATGAGGAGGTAGTTCCATGTCCCAGGAGTCAATCAACCAACACATGTAGTTTGGAGCCCAATGCTTAAGAAAAAAAAAGCTGGGTATAAGTGGACTAGCGTGATTTAAATTTGTTGTTCCAGGATTAATTATACTACATATTTTTGCAACAAGAGGGGAGCAAGGTAAAACCAACATACCATGATCTTGATCTGGTGCCTCCAGGTTGTAGCCGTATCCCAGCAGCGTGCGCACGGCCTCACGGAGGCTGTCCTTATTTGATTTCTTGGTTCGGTCATCTAGAAGGGCATAGGGAACAAGACGAGGGTTTCTTCTGTTCTTTACATCCTAGGGAAACAAAAAAGGTGCTCAGTCATCAAAAACAATCCAACAAAATAGCCTTTGGGAATGAAGCAGCCACCAAATACATTCAAAATGCATAGGGTAAATCCTGCCCCCGCAAATTCTTTTTGCCTTGACAGGCTACAGTAGCTACCTAACCACTGTTAATATAAAGATATAAATAGAAAACTATCAATTTAAAGAAGCTCCACTCCTGAGATGGAACAGTCAAATTAGCACTGAAGCATCTCTTGAACCATCCTCCATCTGCCGTGGTCACAGAGCAATGAGCTAACTTAAAGAACATAAAATTTCCATGCACAGTTAGCTGAAAGTCTGTTAGAAGGGTAGTCAAATTAGCACTGGTCACCTCTCGGTGATTTGGAGTCAAGGGACAACATAAGATTGATGTGCTTCTGGAGAGAGAGAAAATCTAGTGTGTTAGGGACCAGACTGCCTCTCTGTGGCCTCAAGTAGTTTGAAAAATAAGTATTCAGTCAACTCTATCAACCAGTGAAAGCAAGAATATGAAGAATCCTCAATAACTACAAAACTCACAACTTCTCTGCTTTAAGAGGCTTCTGGCTTAAATGTGGTTAAAAATGAGGCTGACAAAGCAAGAAAACAGGGTATCTCACTGTCTTGACAAAAGGATGTCTAATTTTGGCATACAGCTACAATTTGGGAGGTAGAGCGACCCCTACCTTACAATGACTGCGAGTCTTTAGGGCACTATCACTTAAGAAACTATAAAAAATGTTCAGACTTTACCAAAACATAAAGTAGATTCCCTATGACAGACAGGATGAGTGAAAATGAAAAGTGGCTTTACAGGTGTGGATTTTCTTTTGTGGTTGGTAAAATAGTCTAAATTGATTTTGATGATGATTGTACAGCTCTTTGAATATACCAGCAAACATTAATTTTACATTTTAAATATGTAAAAAAAAAAAGGAGAGAGAAAGAAACTAGGTCTTTCCATTTACTCACGGAGACTCTCCTGCAGTTTTTGTCTAGCTTTCCCAATTTGGGGAGGCATATTGAATTCTCATTTTATCACAGGGTGAATTGAAATTGGGAGGCTGTGGATTTTCCCACACCTTCTGATCAAACATGCTATGTGCTGGACAGGGCTTGTTCTGTTTAGAGAAGAACAAGGAAGACCATTCCTTGCCTCCTTTCTTCTTCCCTTTGTCTGGCAAACTTGTGCTAAATTCCTCATTCTGAAAACATGAGCACCTACCGCTGACACCAGGATTCAAAATCATATGGGTGGCTGGTTGGAGAACACCACTCCAAATCCACCCCAAAATAAACAAGCATTGTGAGCAGAGAGCTGGTACAGGCAATGAAACCTCAAGCACACATACACCAGTGCCATTCCTCTGTATGGTTGTTACCCCCAAATCTTTCCAGTAGAGAGCTACTGAAGCCTCTAGTGAACCTCTCTCTGTAGATGGTAAAATGGGAACCTGATTATTAAAAAGGAGTCTCCAGGGGTTCCATGAACACTGATGTTTGAAATAAACTGTGCTAGAGAAATGCTGTGCTAGAAACCAACTGTGCTAGAAATCACTGTGTTAGAAATCAACTGTGCTAGAAATCAACTGTGCTAGAAATCAACTGTGCTAGAAATCACTGTGAAATCAACTGTGCTAGAGAGATGAGAGAACTGAAGAAAAAAGGTGCTTTTGAGTAGTTTACAACTTAGGAATTAGATTATGTTAACAAGAGAGTAATGAAAGATTAAAACAACACTCACTCCCATAATCCAGAAAATGTGTGGTGTGCTATGACAGTGAGGAATACGGTAGAGGGATGAGGTGGGAGCAAGGGAGAAGGAATGGAGGAAAGGTTCAAGTAAGAGTTTTGGTCATCTCAGATAAAACAGAGCCTCATATTTTTATGAGGAGAATGGACTCTGTGCACAGAAGAAACCCCCTCCAGGAAAAGGTAAATACCAGAGAAATTCTGAAGCCTTGTGGTCTTTATGAAATAAATTTTCCTTTAATATAAGGTTCAGATACATACATACATGTGCACACACATACACAAACATGTGTGCGCTCAATTATCAAGCAGATTTAGTGTTCACATTCCCACCACTTACAATTTAATTCAATACATGAACAGCATGTAATTTTATGAGCTAACCCAAGGTTTTTAAAGTTTTCTTTAGGCTTCCAAATGACGAAAGTTGCTGGATTAGAAAGATTCAGGAAATGGATTTTTCAAACCCATTTTTAGACTTTATACTGAACAAAAGTCTAAGCCATAAGTAAAAATCCATTTTATTCCTAAAAGTCTTTATAAAGAAGCAACACAAGAGGTGACAAGAGCATGAGAATAAGAAAGTGAAGGATTTGGGCTCTGCACTCAGCAGGCTTGAGCCATACCTGGTTCTGTCACCTGCCAGCTATGTAGTGTCGGGCATACCCTGTGCATTCTATGTGACCTGGGAATAAAAACTGTTCATCCTTTGTGGAATTTTTGGAAGATTTAAAGAAGAAAATACATGTAAAACTATATGTAGAGTGACTAGAATCCAATAAAAACAGCAAATGGTTGTATAGTATTTGTTTGATGCCAGGCACTGTCATAAGCCTTTCTTGTATCTAAGGTATATAATGAAGTTAAATAATGTATTGATGGTGATAACAGTAGCACAGATAATTTGATTTAAATAGCCTGCCCAAAGTCACAATCATTAAGAAGCAAAGCTAAAATCTTCTCTTAGGCCCTTTGCTATGCTGCCTCAATAGATACTCAATGACTGTTACTCCCAAGACAACATCATTAAAAAAGCCGCAGGATTCTAAAATTCTGTAAACCCATCTTTGTTAAGTTTAACAAAAACTCAGTTGGTAGCAAAATATGACTCAAATCGACAGAAGGCTGTAGTCTGTCCTTGTCCTTCTTGATATTATGATGCCTACATTGTATTGAACAAATAGCAATGTACAGTCTGCTGCCCTGCTGAGGATGCTATGTAACATGTAATATATCATCATATCCCCATTTATAAAACCAAAAAATGGTTGGATTCTAAAATACTGAACCTCATTATTATTTTATCTCAATCTTCTGTTATTACCAAAGTTTCTCCTGAAATAGAATCTCAGAGATAAAAAGCCACATAAACATGTTATAAATCACTGTTCTGATAAAATTCACTGAGTAACTCATTATAACACACAGTTATGGTCATCTGACTTCTTCAGTCCAGCATTAAACAGATGTTTCAATGTATGTGCACATTAAAATAGCCTGGTACTGGAACAAAAACAGATTCAAAACCAATGGAGTATAGTTGTGAGAACAACTATAAACCCACTTCTATATGGGCAGTTAATCTGTGACAAAGGAGCCAAGAACATACACTGGAACAAGGAAAACCTCTTTAATAAATAGTGCTATGAAAACTGGAGAGCTGCATGCAAAAGAATGAAACTAGACCACTACCTCACACCATACAAAAAAGTTAATTTAAAATGGATGAAAGACTTGCATGTAAGACCTGACACTATAAAATACATAGAAGAAAACACTTGTTGATATAAGCTACAGTAACATCTTTAGGGATTCAGCCACAGCAGCAAAGAAAACAAAAGAGAACAACTAGGACTACATCAAATTAAAAAGCTTCTTGCTGAATGGTGCAAAATATCTGCACACCATACATCCGACAAGGGACTTTTATCCAAGATCTGCAACGAATTCCTACAACTCGAAAAAAAGAAGAAAAATAACTCAATAATAAAAAAAATGAATAAAACTCAACATGAACTTCTCCAAAGAAAACATACAGACTGAAAACAGGCACATGAAAAATATGTTCATCATCACTATCATCAGGGAAATGCAAATCAAAACCACAATGATAAAACATCACACACCTATGAGAAACATCAAGTGCTGGTGAAGATGTGGAGAAAGGGGAACCCTCTTCTGCTGGTGGGAATACAGACTGGTCCAGCACTTATGGAAAGAAGTATGGAGGTATTTCAAAACATTAAAATGGATTTGCCATGCAGCCCAGTATTTCCACTCCCAGGCATGTAGCCAAAAAATTCAAAACACTTAATTTGAAAGGAAACTTGCACTCTCATATTTATTGCAGTGCTTTTTATTTTTTTAATATTTTATTTTATCTAATTCTTACATCATTTTTTCATTTTTGCACAATATATGCATTTCATTTTGGTTATATTCCCCATACAATTGCAATCCCCCCCTTATTTTGACCCTAATCCTTCCTCTCCCCGCCCCCCCACCAAGTGTATCTCTGGTTTATAGTTGCTTGTTGATTTTGATTTTTACTTTGTACTGATTAGTCTTTTTCCTGGTCCCTTATTTAGGTTTTCTAAATTCCTGCTATGAGTGAGACCATCCAGTATTTTTCTTTTTCTTTCTGACTTATTTTGCTGAGCATGATCCCTTCTAGCTCCATTCATATTGCTGCAAACTGCATGTATTTATCTTTTTTGACTGCTGAGTAATATTCCATTGTGTATATGTACCACATCTTCTTGATCCAGCCATCTATTTTGGGACATTTGGGTTGTTTCCATAGCTTAGCTATTGTAAATAGTGCTGCTACAAATATAGGGGTGCAGGTGCCTTTTGGCTATTCCAATAAAAATTTCAATGGCATTCTTCAAAGAAATAGAACAATTATTGCAGTGCTTTTTAAAATAGCCAAATTATGGAAACATTCTAAATGCCTCCAAACAGATGACTAGATCAAAAAGAAGTGGCATATATACACAATGGAATATTATTCACCGATCAAAATAGATAAACTCATGGCATTTACAGCAACATGAATGGAGCTGGAAGGGATAATGGATAATGCTAAGTAAAATAAGTCAGAAGGAGGAAGATAAATACCAGGTGGTGTCACTAATATGTGGAATATAGAAAAACCAAACTGAGGGTCGGATAAAGACAAGTTTAAAATCAAACCCTTAAAAGCTGACTATAGAAATGAAGCATCCAGAAGGGGA